TTTGGTATAAGCTAGTTGTTACCTAAGAAAGTCAAACACCAGCTGGTTCAGGATTCTTCAGGAAAGAGATAAAGACACATTATTAACTTTGAAACCACAGGCCTGTGGTGATTTTTGTCATCTTATTTACGTGTCAGCAGTGCTACTGTACATAAATTATTAATATTTTACGTGCAGCGTCATGTTTAGGGTTTAATTTTGTGAGATTCAATTCAAAAAGTCATGAGCTCATCCCTGAAGATGGTAAACATCTATTTATTTCCTGCTTTCAGGAACTGCTGTCCGTCCAGAGGGGACGTCGAATACTCCTGCTGCCTCTGCAGGAGCCTCCAGTCAGGAGTCCAGCATCCCCGAGAGGCCCATGGGGACGGACGCCCCAGAGGTACCTGCCGGTCCTGTCGCCGCCTCTGCCGCCATGCCTAAATCCACTTCCTCCTCCTCCTCAGGGTCATCATCAACAGTCACAGCACCTCCTCCTTCCAGCTCCTCATCAGTGGAGAGTTCGGCCCCTTTTTCCTCCTCCCCCCCCACCTCCTCGCCTGACACGGAGCAGAGGAGTCAGGCCGACGCGACCGGGACGCCCACGCCAACGCCCACGCCCACCTCAGAACCCACACTCTCAGGTAAGAGTAAAACCACCACAGCTGTTCACAGAAATTCACATTTTACTCCTCAGTCCAGCGAGTAGGTATCTTTAGATCAACTCCCCTGTGTACTAGAGTGTGTGTGTTTGTGTGTGTGTTTGTTGGGGCCACTCCACTCAAGCAGCAGCCTCACTTCACTCTCTTTTCCTTCAGCATCCTGTTGTCCTCCTCGTTTATTTGCCTGACTCTCTGCTCCTGACCCTCCTCTTCTCACATCTTCCCCTCAGTCTTCTAATCGTGCATTCACTCTCCCTCTCTTCCTCTGCCTCTTTGTCAGAGTACGGTCCTCATCGGCTGCCTATAAGTTTAGTGTGTAGGCGTTTGCAGAGGTTACTTCGGCTGGCCGACCCACCAGGACAGGGTCAGCGAGCGGCCCCTTCTTCTTCTTCTTCTTCCTCTGCAGCCCCTGAGAGACAGTCACAAAGAGCTGCTGCTACTGCCGCTGCTGCCGAGGTTCAACCCCTTACAGGTTACCCTGCCCTCCGAGTTCCCCGCCCCCCTGCAGCACCCCCCCCTGTACGGGCTGTTTGCCTGGGCCCCCTCCTTTCCCATCTTACCCTTGCAGAGACAATTAGGCGTCAGAAAGACCTGGTCTTGCCAGAACTGACCACTAATCCTACAGTGATCCTCTTTCCATTCCCCAATAATGCACCTTGTACTTACTAACCTCTGTAGCTGTCACTCTCACCTCTCTACTGTTTGCTTAGCCCCTCACTCACTAATGCTTTCACTCCATCAATCCACTTGTTGCTTGAGTTGTCACCTGCAAACTCTCCTGTTGGAGTGGCACCAGCCAGTATGAAGCGCTCATGTGTTTGATGATACTTACTGATCAGTTGTCTTAGGACTCGATTCACTTCAACTAAAGCCCTTTTCA